CTTTTTCCCATTTGGCAGACCCTTTGCAATCACATGGATAACATTCTTCTTTCCACTGAGACACAGAAAAACCATTCTCTATTGACCTTGCTTGTTGTCCTGAATGACAAAAATATATTTATATACGAGGTGAACTGTATGACTTCATCACTTGATTGAAAATTCTTCAAAGCAAAAACCTCAAAGAGCTGTTTGCAATTTTTTTTTTTTTTTTACAATCCAGTGAGTTCTTACTTAGCAAAGAGCTCAGCCCTCAGCTCACATGCACAACTCCCCCAGCTGCACAGAGAACTGTGTGCAAATATCTGAATGCTGAAGCTGTGAAAAAAGCCATACAAAGAAGAAATACACCTTTTGGGTTGGGCAGGGGACTTCTCTTTATTTATTGAACAATGGAGTATTTGCTGTGGAAGTATGGATGTTTTCTTTTTTTGTTTCTGTGCATGTTAATTTATTTTTTTTTTGTATGGTTGCAGTGAGAAGCAAATTAGAAGAGCAGGACGAAAGTACAGAAAATCCTTCAACATCTCAATTTTAGTTTCCTCACTAAAACTGCAAAGCACAGAGCTAATGGACTTTGTGACACTGATGTAGAAACTCTGTTAGAGTTTTCCATGTGAGGATTGTAAATCAAAGGCAGGTTCTGTAAGGACCCAGCAGCCAAGACAAAGCTCAGTCTTAGTCTAAGTGAGCCCAGTTCTCTCAGAACAGATGGAAGGTGCAGATCAAGGCAGAGGGGTTGGATCTCTGTTTATCCTGTGGTACCAAAAATCTCTTCTGACAGGAACTAAACTCTGGATGAAATTAAATGGGGTTACACCCAGATGTAAGCAAAGGTTAAAGCAAAGGCAAAAACCTTCATTTATCATGAGCTGGACTTGTCCAAGTCCTGCAGAGCTGTGACAGTCCAGGCTCACCAGAGCAGGCTCTGTCAGAAGGGTCTGATTTGCAGAATTCTGCACCTCTGCCATTCCAAAGGAAGGCACTGAGAGCTGGGGCTGCTCTGCACTTCTGCAGGGGAGAAAAGTCAAATTCCCTTTTGTTAGCATGGAGCCCATGTGCTGAGAGGGGCAGAATGAAGATCCCAGTGTCAGCATTTCCAGCAACCTTACCCAGGCTGCTTGCTTCCATCAGGATCAAGCCCAGTGAAAATCACACTGGGCCCCTGCTAAGGAACCCTTATTATTATTAATATTATTATTATTTTAACTTAGTCCTGTCAAGTACATTCCTCCTCAGGCCTTTATTAGAGAAGACAGTAGCAGAACTGCAGAAATTCCATGCAAATCCAAAGTGCAGAGGTTTTGAATAAACACATGTTAAAACACGGGTGGTTTTAGCACTTGCTGTGTTCCACAGGGCTTTCTTCCATCATGTGCACAGATTTTACCTTCACTGTTACACCAGTCCCACCCCTGGTTTTTTCCTGGTTGGTGATGGATGATTGTCACACCAGATCTGGAAAATGAAACCATCTGAAGAACAACTCTCATCCTGCACTCTTTAGGCCCCGCTGTGTTCTCCTGTCCCCTCCTTTTCACAGCACGAGCAACTGAGCCAGGACAGGAAACTGCTGAGCCAACAGGAAAAAACTCCTTTTAGTGTGGAGAGTTTGGCTGTTGCTCCCTGCCTGCTCTTGGTGGGTTTGAGGTGCCAGAGCCAGGGCTGAGTGGGGATTTGGCCAGGGAATGAGCTTTAGGAGCCTTTCCTTCAGTTTAATTCTGCTTTTCTGGAGGAGCTGCACCCAGGGACAGTGCTGTGCTAGCACTGCTCACTGCAATGGAGAAATTCAAGGTGAATTTTAAACCAGGCAGACACAAACATTGTAAGTAAATAGTAAAGCCTTTATTCTCGTTAAGAACAGCATTTTGAAAATAAAACATTTTTGCCCATGCTTTACAACCTTTGTAGTTTTGTATACTTATGTACACTCATCATGGTACACATTGATTGTCTTGAAAACCCTTGAAAGATGTATTTAATAAGAGACCAGTATGCAACAATCAGGGGAAAAGGGAACGTTATAAAACACACGTTAATACATTTAATAAATATATATTATCTATCAAAAATGAGCTTTAGCTCTCATCAATTAATAAAAAGCACCTGCTTTGTAATCCTGTCAGTTGGTAGAAGAGTCCAATTGTTTTGTTATAAAAGCTACAATGCTCCCTTTTGAATGGCCTTTGGTTAGAGCCAGGCATCGAGCTCCAGCCCAGATGCCGTGCTTGGGCTAAAGCACAAACAGCTAATTCTATATTATTTCATGTATTTCATGTATTTCATGTACCTTCTTTACAGAAACAACAGCACGTGTTGGGAGTGCTCTTGTGAAGACACCACAAACTTTGTGTCAAACCTTTGACAGCAGCACAGGTTTGGTGACTCTGAACTCCTTCCAGCCTTTGATCAAAAGCTGCTCTTTAGAAATCCTGGTAATGGTTTTGTCAGATGCTTTATGGTTTCACTTTCTGCATGGAAACACCATGAGCACACAACCATCAAGGGACAACAGAGTAGCTTTTATAGGATAAAAGCTAATTTTAATTAGGAGAACTGCGAAAGGCTTGTGCTTACTTAACTTATTATGTTGTTCACAGATGCTCTACATTCTAGAAAACTTTCAAAAAAGGCAAAAGTAAATCATGTAACAAAAATATAAATTAACATAAAGGTGCCTTTCTTCAATTACAGTTTTATTTTGGGGCATTTTACATCACAGACTAGTGACTTACAAAAAAAAGTTGCTCATTACTAATTGTATAAAGTTGGAAAATAAAGACCCTCCTAATCTATTGCCACACTTTCACCACCACACATGAAACCCAATCCTGCTAATTTTTAATTTTGTGAATAGTCCCCATGACTAACCCAGTGAGATTAGTCATGTGAACAGCAGTTTGTAGGATCTTTTCCTAAGTCCTGAAATTCCAAACAACTTTATCAGAAGCAGGATTGGGAACTCTATTTATCAATTCAGTCACATCTAGAAAAAGAAAAAAAACTTTAAGATAACTATATCTTGTACAGATTTTGTCAGAGGTCTGTAAAATGTGTATTATAATTTTTAAGTCTTGGTTGTAGCATGATAAACTTTTAAAAAGAAAGCTGTCCTACCATTTATGCCATGGTCATCTTATATATTTTTATGATACGAGTTTTATGAGGGATTTTATTAACTGGTTTTTAAAAGCAAAATTCAGCAGGCAAGTGATGGTAGTATTTTTTTATTTGTTCCAAATTATGTGCCTTCTGGGTGGGTGTCATTATGTTCAATATTCTCTTATTTGATCAAAGCTCTGCTCATAACAAGCAAAATGGATTTCTAAGTGACTGAGAGCATGCAATATCCACCCCACCCTACTGGGCTGCTCAGGCCACCAATTACCTAAAAATAAAACAGAGGATCCTAAAGAAGCACATGCTGCCCCTGCTCCAGAGGGAAGGGAGTGACACTGCTCAACTCATGCACGACAGAAAAACACTGCTGGAGGAGAAGGGCTTGGAAATAAAACCCCATAAGATGATCATGGCAAGAATGGCAATATCTATCTCTTCATCTCTATATCTACATTTATCTGTGTGCAACACCTGGGGACTGCTCTGGCAGCCTCTGTACCTGGGGGAGCCCTGCAGCTTTGACAGGGCTGCTCGTGGGGTACAAACTGCAGGACTGGGCTCCTAATTCAGTACAAATGGAGCTACAGCAGCAATCAGGAAGACTCTTGAAAAATAAAAAGCTCGTCTTTCTTTTGAAGTATACAGCAAGTAACTTCCTTCTGTGAAGCTACTAAGCTATTATTTGTACATTTTTTTTTGTTTGAAAATATATATTTTTATTACAGCATATGCAAAGTTTAATTGTTATATGTTTCCTATGCCTTCAAGTAAAAACAATTAGCTTTTATTATTAAGGAAAGCTAAGATTAACATTGGCCAAACAGTGAGGACAGGGTGATGTTTTCAATGTCCGATATGTATTAAATGTTAAAGAAAGGAATGATTGCTTGAACGTAATGAAAAACTATGGCACAACACATGGGCAATGGGAACCTTTTAAATAACCTGGAGAAAACAAAGATAAAAAGCTTTGAAACGTCTGCCTTGGATCAACTCAAGAGAATGGATGGGGAGGGGGACAGTAGGGAAGAAACCACCTTAAATAAACAAAAACAACAACAAACCACCTCCAGCACAGAGATTCTACTCTCTAGGCACTAAAATGCACAACCACACGTAAATGCACGAACAACTGCAGTGGAGGGGACCAGACTGCTCACCCCAACAGGGTGAGAGCTGCTCAGCTGCCCCGGGCCCTGCCTGACCCCAGCCCAGCTCAGCAAAGCTCAGCCCAGCCCAGCTCAGCTCAGCTCAGCACAGCTCAGGAGAGCAGAGCTCAGCCCAGCACAGCAGAGCCGGCTTGGGAACGGCTCCTTCCCTGCAGCAGCACTGGAACCAGCACTGGAACCAGCACTGGAACCAGCACTAGAACCAGCACTGGAACCAGAACCAGCACTGGAACCAGCACTAGAACCAGCACTGGAACCAGAACCTGCACTGGAACCAGAACCAGCACTGGAACCAGCACTAGAACCAGCACTGGAACCAGAACCAGCACTGGAACCAGCACTGGAACCAGTCCCATCCTCCCAGCTCAGGTTTCCCAAACCCACTCAGTCCCCCGGAGCAGCGTGGCCGCAGGATCCCAGGGATTGCAGCTCTGCTCAGCCCTGCCTGGGCTGGCTACCAGGGACCCCGTGGCACTGGCCCAGCTGAGCCCTTCTCTCTGCCCTGAGCAGCTCCACAATGGAGCAGAGCAACATCCTCCATCCTCCAGCCCTGTCCTTGGCCAGCTGTGCCCAGTGCCCAGTGCCTGGAACCAAATGGGGACACTGGAGTGGACAGTGCCAGAACCCAACGGGGACACGGGACACGGGAATCTGGACACTGGAGTGGACAGTGCCAGCCTAGAACCCAACGGGACACTGGACACTGGACACTGGACAGTGCCAGCCTGGAACCAAACAGGGACACTGGACACTGGACACTGGACACTGGAGTGCCACAGTGCCAGAACCCAACGGGACACTGGACACTGGACACTGGACACTGGGGTGCCACAGTCTGACTGCCCCGTGCCCATCCTGAGTGCACCCGTGCTGTGTGACACAGATCAGCTGGGCACGAGCAAACAGGACCTGTAGGATCTGAAATGACGGCAAAAGGAGCAAAACGGAAAGAAATCCTGCATGGTTTCACACTGGGGTGGCAATCTCTTGTGGCAACATGAATTAAGTTACGTGAGAGGAGGGTATTTTGCAAGCAACTGGCAACCACCAAAACTAGGCTTGCCTGGCACACAGGTTACAGATAAGAGAATATCTTACACTTCAGAGTACAACATCCCCTCTTCCAATTTATGCTGTGCCTACTTCTGTGTCAAGTTAGATTCAGCTTCGGTTTTACAATTTTGTTTTTGCAATTCTCAGTTCAATGGCGTTCACATTTAGGCAAAATCCTCTGTAGGATTTCAAAAGATCCTGGATGTTTTGTTGCTTTGTTGTGTATTGTTATGGATTCCTTCCCTCAAAGACACACTGCCAGGGAACAACATCTGCACCAGGACTGATATTCTCTACAGCCTACAGCTTTCACCAGAGGTGTCGTCCAGTGTAACTTGGCGGAGCAGTTGGGATCTGGAAACAAGGATAACAAACCCGTAACTGAGAGATCTGACTGTGCACAAATCACTGTTATCACAGCACACGTACATGAGAGCTGTTCCAATGGTGATTCTAGAGCAAAGCGATGCAAAGGAACTCATCTTCACCCAGACAGTGCATTTATCTCTGTAAAACCATGACTGTACACACACATGAGCTTTGTGTCTACCTCAGAACAAAGCAAAACAAAAAATACCCCAAACCAAATTCTCAAGCTTCTCGTCCTTTAACCACCTTCTCCCTGAGCTGCACATTCTGGATCAGAAACCAGGCAGAGGTGAATCCAAACACCAGAAAGATGCAATCCATTACTGACTGCAAAGCCAAGCCTTTCATTTACTAAAGCTGAACATGTTTCACACAATCTTACCCACACAGGACAATTCCAGTAACTCTTGTTCACCAAAATCAGCCAAAACTTTACTTACTTAAAACCAGACCTGCTGCAATCAGTTCACGTCAGTTGGTTTTAAATGCAGAGGTTGAGTTATGGAATCAGCTCAATGATTCAAAAGAAAACCCAACTCACATGAGTATAAACTGGCTCATGCATAGATTTTTGAGATGCATGTAGATACGCATGAAAAATGTGGGGATGAAAATTGTTCTTTTTCAACAGTGTGCCTGCTATATGAAATGTCTTAAGTGAAAATCAGACACAATGTGAGAAACATTTGGAAAGTCCGTTTGGCATCACTAAAGGATCGTACAAAGATGCAAAAATACAGATCTATCAGAGAATAACATGCCAAACTATTGTCTAAGGAAGAAAAATAGATGCTATTAACATTAAAATATTCTATATTGCTCTTTTATGAATCCCTTTCAAGAGATGTACACATCTGTAAGTTACAAAGAATTACATGGATTTTACAAGAAAATGGGAGACATGTGAGAGATTATTGGCAGCAATTATTTAAAGTAGTGTGTTGCCTGAAAACATTTGTGTGACTCATATCAGCCTGAAAAAATCAGTTTAGAAATTATGTCACTTAATAGTTATATTAAATATTTTAACACAAATTTAATTTGAAAGGGCCATTAAATATGTTGTCTCACAAAAAAGCTTGTTTCACTGAAGCTGCACTGCAAAACGTGAACAGCCAAGTAAACAAATGCAAAACTCTTGGTAATTACATATTTTCTAGAGGGAAGGAAGCATTTCATGCATATTGCTGCCTTAAATTTTCATTTATAGCTTTGCCCCTGCTGTGAATACGCTAAAAGCAGGTTTTTCAATTAGTGGTGGTTGTATATATCAGTGCATATCCAAGGTTTCTTAAATCATCCCATTTTGATACTTACAGTGCCACCATTTAGCACAACTGCCATCTCAGTTGGCTGATAAACATTGCTTCTGAAAGGAGCGCTGGGGCGCGTCCCCAAGCTGCCGTTCCGAAATCCCGCAGTTCTCAGCGCTGCTTGGGAAAGAGAGATCACCCTTAGAACACAACTGAACCTCACACCGTGTCCCTCCCAGTTCAGGTACTGGGAACCAGTGCAAGTTATTGCCACTGACTGGAACTCCCACATTGCCATGGCAGTTTTCACATTGCTGCTGACAGCGTTTCCACATTGGGAATGATCTCAGAAGAATCTGATTTACATTAAATGAACTTCGCTGTGGAGGGGAAAATTGAATGGAACCAAATTTTTGAAGCTTGCTTCATCTCATTTCAGTGGAGCTCAGTGCCTTCAGTCCCTGAAGCTGTGATTATCTTGTGCAAGACATTTTGCCAAGTGCTGCCTGTGCTCTCTGGAGATTGTGGGGTTAAATAAAATCTGTTCCATTTTGCTTTCTATCAAACTCGGTGGACGGGGATCCAAAGCCTTGCTCACGCCAGAAATGCTCACAACCCCCTGAGCATTACTTCAGCATGACTAGCACAGAAGGATTTCCCAGATGTTTCAGATTATATTCACTCTGAGAAACCAGAAAGATGAATAAATATTGCTTTCGAATAGCTTTACCATGGCAAATGGCTGAAGCAAAGGGAGATTCTGATTGTCCTTTCTGCTGTTTACACCAGGAGTAAATCAGTTTCCCCATTAATTTTAGCACAAGTTTGGGTTCAAGATGTAAATTCTGAAGGACAGATGCATAAAGCTGCTCTCTCTAAACCAGTCTGGGACTGGCACATCCAAAGTCCCTCTTTAATTTGGAGGGTAAATAAAGCTCCCTGAGCTGGGACAGAACAGAGCTCATTTATCCACAGGGTGTGAGGTTCCTCATCTGTCAGCTGCTAAAACATCTCAGGCACTGGGGCAACAATTCCCCTTCAGACTGAACTCAAATTACACTTCCACGTCTCTGGCCATGAATGAGCTGAAGTTTAGGGTAATTTCAGCACAGGCTTTAATGAAGCCAGGATTTATCTCCAATAGAGCTGCTCTGTGTAAAGATTTAAATGGATCCTGCTGCCACATGCTGCCATATCCACTGTACTCCTCTCTCTGGGAGCTGAGCACCAAGATGAAGAACACTATGGATTTAGCATGGAAATGTAGAAATTCCACCCTGCAAATGCTCAGCTGTTTACTTCAGATACACATAGACCCTCCCTTGCTCTGTATTTTAAAATTACATATTTTTGCAGAACACTGGGAGAACAAATGATAAAAACTCCTAAACTGAAATAAAGTATTTTTTATGAGATATGTAACCATCTCAGGGTTGGTAGCTTTGTTTTTGGGGTTTTTTTTTGCTATTTGACTACTTCTTGTGTGATAAACACACATGATTGCACTGGTATTTGCGAGTACACGTAAAGAAAAAGGAAATATTTATCATGCATACCATCATTAAAACATTTACACATTTATACAAAATGTTTACACAGAATATCCAAGGTCATTTCAAAGTTACCTTAAAGAGCTATCAAAATTTCATTTTGCTAAATTTTCTTGCCCTGTTATTGCAAACAGTCCACTTTTTTTTGGACATGAGGATCTGTGACAAAGCTTGTAGATATTAATAAGGGCATCTATTTTGTATTGTACTATAATTCAAATAGATTAAAACAGAACATAAATTGCACTATAATAGACAGCATAATGATTTTGTAGCTATCATGCATCTATCCATTTCACTAGAAAACTTAATTACTGAATCATTAGATCAAAAGGGAGTTTCCAGTTCTTTTTTTTCTGTTCAAACTTCCACCTCAGATGAAGACCTTTAAAACTCCTGCAAAAAAACTTAGAGGAGCAAATGCCTTCCTGAGCCAACACTGCCAAACAAAAGCGCTGTTCTGCTCCTGCCCTGAGGAAACATCAAAGCCAAGGAAATCAAAGACACCTAAAGATGGAGAGGAAGGTGAAGTAACTGGACCATGTGCCCTGAGCCTCCCTTCAGGGGCTGCAGAGCAATGTGGAGCTCCTGGGACAGAGGCCACAATTCTCAATTGGAGTGAATAAAAATCAGTGGGACTTGTAAGAAAAAATTGGTGGGACTTGTAAGAAAATCCTTCATCCAAGTGTGGGGCMRCAGCAGAGCTCAGCCCCCCTAAAACAATCCCAGCCTGGATTCCTGACACAGCTTCAGCATTCCCCAGGGTTTGGGGCTCAGTTGTTACTGCTCCTTTCAGCATCACTCARAAACATTTCACTGCAGATTTTAATSATGTGTCATCACACATGGCTCTATGACAAGGAGGGCAAATTACCTCGAAACCTCTAAGAAACCTCAGACGTTTCAGAACAAAGGCTGTCTTTGAACTGTCAAAAGCCACTTGGCAAATTTTTCCCCCACAGTCACATGAAGTGGCACTAAATCCATTTTAATGGAAATATAATTAATAATAATCATTTTGTTGCTCAAGTGGCCGAGCATTTTGTAACGTAGACCACTCTGGTTTTTTTCTTAGGTCTTTGGAAAATATTTTGTATTAAATGTTGATGACCACTAGTGACAGAAAATGTCATTTTACATTATTTAAAGTAGAGGTTGTTTTTTCCACAGTGAGTATAATTTTGGTGTTGCTTTGCATTTGAAATTGTTCCGTTTTTCAAAGAAAAAGCAACATTGAGAAGAATCATTTTAACCTAACAGATGTATTTTCTATATCATTAGATGGTATCTTAATTGTAAAAGGGAGGAAAGTGTCATGTGTAAATTATTGCATTTCTCATGACCTTTGTTTTCAACATCTGAAAAATGTCTCATACAGAGAGTTTTCTTGACACTACAGAAAGATACAGTCCAATACATACATATTATACAGTCCAACATATATAATTATATATAATTATCTACATGATAGCCAATTCTTACCTGCATTATGTTCATCCATTGAAAAGGCTTTATTCTCCATGTAGCTCCGGGGAAGCTGAATATCCTCCTCAAAAGCGGTTTCGCGCATCCTCGGCTGCGAAGTGTCGAAATAATTGGGTGTGTTTTCCTGCTGGGATGGAAGGATGGTACAGTGCACCTCGGGGATGGCGTGGAAGATCACAAAGACCCAAGCACTGGACACCAGCGCGATGGCCAGAGTGGGGTCACTCCACCTGTCCCTCCTGTGCAGCGCCGCGTTCCCGAACAGGTACATGGTCATCCAGGCCACCCAAATCAGGAGGGAGAAGAAAAGCGTTATAATGAGGCATACTCCGTTCTTCTTCCATTTCTTAAACTTCCCACAGAGAGTGAAAAAGGAGAATGCCGTGGCGCAGAGCATCAGGAACATGACGTAAATGGAAGCCATGACAAAGTCCATGGGCTGGTAGGCGCAGGCGGGGTGGCGCTCCCGGAGCAGGGTGAGGATGAGCCACTCGCTGGCGATGATGGCCTGCACCAGGCTCAGGCAGAGGGGCAGCCCGGCCAGCAGCCAGCCCGAGGGGCTCTGGCCACGCCGCACCAGCCTGCGCAGCCGCCAGCCCTGCGCCAGCAGGCACGAGAAGCACAGCGCAAAGAGAACGCCCCAGAGGAAGCGGCGCGCGGAGCACACCAGCTCATCCTCGCCGATGATGAACGCGAACGTCAGCCCAAACAGCCCCAGCGTGCCCAGCAGAAAGAGGAAATGCATTCCCAGGGGGCTCCTCTTCTCCTTGTCCTTGATGCAGGGCAGCCTGGCCAGCAGGATCAGCATCAGCAGCAGCGTGGTCAGCACTCCTGCCCCGGCCAGCGCCTCCAGCACGATGCCCCAGATGGCATCCAGGTCACACAGGTACACGTACTGGGGCAGCAGATCCAGCCCACACCCCCGGGCAGTGCTGGAGTTCTCGGAGGAGCCATGGCTGATCACCAACAGGAGCAAGAATCCAATGGCTGGGGAGGTTCTCATTTTCCTGCCTGAGATAACAAAATATTTGTTTAGCTCGGGCTCGTTTTGGAGATTGGACAGCCACTGAAAGCACAGTTTGTTTCAGCAGTGTTTACAGTTTGTGCACTGCATTTGCAGCTGGCACAGCCTCCCCCAGCCCCCTCCACTGCCCTCCCAAAAGATGCTTTGGCCTCTTGCACTCAGAATACAAAATGACTCATTGCTCTGTTTGCACAGATTGAAAATATCATTTACAAACTCTGACCCTGCACATGGCCTAAAACACAGCCAGAAAAAAATTATGTATCCTGCTGCCAATACTACACTATACCAATTATCCACAATACTTAGATATTTACTACCTGTTCAGAGGCAATACCCCATTCAAATCAAGGTGTTCAAAATGTGTGCAAGTTGCACTGGGCCCATGCAAGTGTAAGCTCCATCATAATTACACTGTTCCACAGCCTCACTCCTTTTATTGGAACAAAGGCAGAGTCAAAACCACTTTTTAAATTATTACTATTTAAAGGATAAAGCAATCCAAAGAAAATAAACATTGTAGTTTCTTAAAAAAACAAAAATCTTGTTTTCATGCTCAGTCAATAGGCAGTTATCATATTCACGTCTCTCATCCTCGTCCAAAGCCCAGATATTAGATTGCATTTGGAAACAGGAATGGCAGTCTAGAAAAATCCCATATTCTGTGACAATGGTGCACACATGCAGTGTCATCAATCAACTGATCAAAAATGAATGGTGAATGCCTCATTGTGCTTCTTAGCAATTCCAAAGGCAGTCAAAGGAAACAAACAACACAAACCAGAGCATCACTTTCCTGGATCAGAGAGTGGACAATGGACAAGGACAGAACCTTCCCACCCAAGGTCCAATCAGGACCAAAAGCCTACAAATCCCACCTTAGTTTCAGGAAGAACACGGCTTAGGTGCTTTAAAAATACACATTAAGGCATTTACTTTCATAAAGCAAAGCAGAGCAAAGGAGATTGTTAAAAATTTAACTTTGAACTCCTGTCAGGGCAGCGTGAACAGCGTGTGAGCAGACAGGAAACGTGACTGTGGTGACGTTCAGCAGCAGTTGGTGCTGCAGGATCTCCTCATCCATGGGAGAACATTTCACACTCCCACTGGCACTGGATGAGCACACAGAAGAAAAGCACCACACGAGCAGGCAGTGAGAGTCACAGGGACAGGTTTGGGATGCAAAGGGAAAAGCAGAGAAACCATCAGCAGCTCTTCTGTAAGTCAGACAACAGCCCTAAATGGTTACCTTTCCAAAGAGATTTCCTAGATTAGAACTGCTTTTAATGAGAACTTTGAAAACTTTCATGGGAGTTGAAATGATTTAACACTGCTGAGGTGCAATGTTGCATTGAGCATGATCAGTCATAACCAAGACAAAAATCAGGGAAATATATTCATTTTTGTATGGAATATGGTTACACTCAATAAATCTCCTTGCCCTGTGAGTACATCATTAACTAGAAGGAAACATTCTGAAGGTAGCTCTCCAGTTCCTTTTATGCACAGGCAATTCCTACTTCAGCTATTCAAACTGTGAATTTACACTTTAGAGTGTTTGAACCATCCTAAAAAGTGTGAAATGGCCACTGCTGACACAGAGGGGAAATCCACTGGCATCTGCTGAGGCAATTCTGCACACCAGTGGTACCATTTAAAGATGTAGCAGGTCGTGTGGAAAATGATTCCAAATTCATTCTAAATGTCACCCAAACCAGAAACAATAAACAGCCCTTAAGAGAGGGTCATGTTAATTTTCCACTTTTCTCACTTATGAATCATGATAAGCATGGACTAAATTGTTTTCAGAACTAGCTTTGTTTATTAGCTACCCTCCAAAGACCTGGGAGTTCAGGAATTAAGTGTGAGTATCCCCAGCTGTAAGGTATTTTCCAGTTTTCTGGTTACTTTATTCACGTCATGTAACCCTCATGTGATGGAGCTGTTCCAGGACAGTCGGTTTCCATGGCGATTGTGCTGCATGGGTTCACATTGTCAGCATCATTTGTTTCCTCTTCCTGTTTGAAGTGTTTGGGAGGGGAAGGGAGGGTTCATGAATTCCAGTATTTCCCTCTCCATGAAGAAGTGGTTAGTTTTGGAAAGGGGAAATTGAGCTGTGACAGAATATATCCACACAAAATATGTATTCTGAAATAAAAAGGTTTTCAAGAGGGATCTTCCCAAGTTACTTCCTACTTTTGGGAAAGCTGATGGAGATAAGCACAGCCCTCTCAGAAAGGTCCCAGACAGCCACAGCACTGACCAAGAGATCTGCAGGGCTGCTGACAGCTACCCCTGGGGTGAATAATCCCTTACTCAGTGTCAGAGGGTCTCCTAAACACGAGTTCCTGCCCAGACTAAACCTCACAGGCAGGTCCTGCAGTCTCCAGAGGAGGAATCTTTTCCTCCTGACTGCTCTCAATAAAGCACTCTGTGTCCAGCCTGGTTCCTATCAATTTCTGCCTGACTGGGTAAAAGTGGGCAATATTAATAATCTACCCCCTGAGACATTACCAGCCAAAAAAAATCCTCTTTCCAGTGCTGCTACTCAGCATTGAATGCAGAGTTACAAAAACAGGGAACACACTGCATTACAACATACAAGTTTGGCAAGGGAATACCATAACTTTAGCTAAAACCACGGGTTCAATCATTTTAAGAGAAAACTGTAAGGGTTTTTTCCAGAAGCGTTGTTTTTGAAAGCAAAAAAGTACCAATATGGGGTTTTATTAAAATAGCATCTTCCTCCAGCAGGTGCAGTGGGTAGGACGGCAGAGTTCTGTGTCTCCTGAGATTTTGTAGTAAAATGTTTCTGCACATTCTTGCCAGCAGATACCTAAATCAGTAACTGTAGAGGAGGAGTATTTTTACCTCTTTCTGTCTAGATGAGCTCTTCCCAAAGTTATGCAACTCACGGTGTAACAATAGCGCTCTATTCGCTGCCACTTCGCTGCTATCGCCAGAGAACAGCAGAAAAATGCCACGGAAACATTCCAGCACAGAGACACTCCTCAGAGGCACCGAAACATCCCCCGCATGCTTCAATAAACTCTTCATATGGAAGGAAAACAACTTGAGAATCTTTTTCCCTGCAGATTCCTCTCCAAAATTTTATTTAAAGTAAAGCCATTAAGGTAACACAGCCGAACCCAGAGCAATCAGGAGCACTTACAATCAATATTCTGATCAATAAGCCTTACACATTTTAGGCAAAAGCGGCAAACAATTAGCAGGACAGCTTCAAATCCAGGACTCAATTTTTGGCTCAAAATCTGCTCTCAATGACAACTGTAATAACTCCACTGTTCTACAGAGTGAAGTCCCCTTCCTCACATTATCTGGCGTAAAGTCACTACAGAAATTGCAGACACAAAGCTGCCCCAGTGGGTACAAACTACAATTACAAACTAATTACGACTTACAAGTAAGCAGAAAGAGAAAATCTCACAGCTATCATCAAAATCTTGTCACGGTTAAAAATCAATGAAGCTTTCTGTAGCTAAAGTCTACTGACCAAAGCTTGCAAAGGGATCAAAAGGACACTGCTGTATGCTGCTGCTGAATATATATACAGAATAAAACTGTAATGGTGCAAAAATTTAAGGTTGGGCTATTCATTTTTGATGCATTATCTGTYCCCGAATCTGGAGCCCTAATGTTAKTCAGTGACACAGGGAGATGCATCCAATGGCAGAGAGGAAAAACAATCTAGTAAATACGAGCAGTAGTAGCACAAATAGTAACCTGCTGTGCCACGCAGAGAGAAGACAGGTTCACTGTGCAATTTCCAAAAGAAAACCGCCCCCACCAGAGTGGTGTGGAGAGATTTAAGTGAGGAATTAATCACAACACACGATCTCTGCCAGCAGCTTTTGATCAGATCTGAGGAATGAGCTCCAGGACTGTAACAGAGCAGCAACAGCCAAGCTGATCTCAGCCTACTCAAGAGATGTGTGTATTTCCAGAATAATAATTAATAGTGCAATTGTGCTTTGTAGGCAGAAACACAGCAGTGATGTTGACAGCCCCTGCATTAGACACACATCACGCTCTGACACAGCCTCACGTTACAGAGGGCAAGAACCACTCCAGAAAGAACTCACAGGAAAAAAGTACTGATTTCATTTAGAAATACTTTGTGATGCTGAATATCACATGAAATGATCTTTCTGATTTTCTAGGGGCTCAATTCCCTTTGGTCAGAACCTGTTCATCACGTGTGCCTGGACACTTCTGACCATAGCGCCTGGTGTTGAATCCGCCACTGACAGCGTTCAGTGACAGTAATCAACGGTTTTATTTTCTTTTCCAATTCACAGACTGTTTCTATTCGTGTCACAGCCTTCTACAGATGGGTTCTGTCACCCGATTTCTCCTGATGTAGCGCCACAACACCTCAACCCCGATTTTCCTCGCTGGCCAGCAGCAAGGGTATCCCCGAGAGCACCAGCGCTGATCCCCAGCCGGGGTGTTTGGGCTCAGCCCGCAGGAAATCCTGTTAGCCTCGGATAAACATTAGGGCAGGTGTAAACAAAGGGTTCACATAAGTGCTAAATCCTCTCTGTGCGTGGCTTTGCCGAAAGGTAACACAGAGACGGGGTTTTTACTAACAGAGAAAACTGCTGCGCACCCGGCCCCGGGCCAGCAAAAGCCTCCTCCAAAAGCCTCCTCCAAAAGCCTCCTCCAAAAGCCTCCTCC